GTCAGAAATCATCGGATATTGGGATTTGGTGATTCATCTTTCTGTTTGCTGTGAGCTATCAAACAATCAGCCACTTTGGTACTAAGCAATGTTGCCGCATTACTTGACAACCCCACAAAAATCTTTGTTGAATTGAGGCCTATTCTTGAATAGTACTTCGAGTAGAATTGTTCTGCATTTCCAGTTTTAACCAAACGCATATACATGGATTCTACTTCTGAGAAGTCCATATTTTCTTCATCCCTGGCAATCGTATATCTTCGTAGCTCTTCTTTTACGCTTTGAGGGTAGATTTTTCTTTCAATTATTTTATCTCGTGCTTTCATTGATAACGCTTCGAAGTCTTCAGCAGTGAATTTGGCTTCTTGAGTCGGTTGATTTCCCCACGCTTGTTCGTCCTTATGCTTTACTGTCTTATGTCTTTTTAATCAGTAAAAAAATATGTTGTTGTACTACGACCGATGCCGTTGCTAAGGGTATCAATAACTACAAGGTTTTTGGGCGAAAATAACGTTTTGAAGGCTTCTCAAAGACTTACAGCGTCGACTGCTTCGACAAAGTGCTCTTGTAATTCTTCATCGTTTTCCAAAGTTTCCAGTACGGCATCAAAATCGTCGCCGAAGAAAAATAAGCCGTCCATGTCCGCCATGTTGTTTTGGTTCTGTGCAGGGTCATTGGTCACGTGACGTTCAATCGAAGCTCAGGGGACAGACAATAGGCCGGCCCTATGAAGTTTGCCGCGTTTCCTAACCAGTCCCCTCTACTAGCTATGGTTACCAGAATGACAATTAGCGTATACATCTGTCCAAATTAAGTGACAAATCTATCAACTCTCTCTCTGTTTTTCTTCCATTCTGCGCGATTTATTTTGACTGTCATATTCTATTCCTTTAAACTTTAGTCATAGCGAGATCTTTCGTATAGGGAACTTCCTGGAGTATTCTGAAACGATTATCATTCCGGTTCATTTTTAAGAGAAAACGAGGGACTGAATGATTCCGATACTATTTGTAACATAAGAGGTCATATGTTTAGAACATAAATTATGACAACAAACTTATCATTAACAAGAAAGGGAAGAAACACAATAGATGTTCATCATCACAAGGTAACTAGTGGTTTCGCGCCATTGCAAGTTCACTCCCAATTCGCCTCCGAACCAAAACCCACCACATTGAGATTCATATGAAGTAAATTGTATTCATTGTTGCAATAGGACAACCTTCAATTGACTGTCAAACACAGAGTCCATGATTATTTAGGTTTTACTAATCAAAGCTGTATGATTGGTTTAAAGAAAAAAAGGAATTATACCACGAACTGAACATCACGATCGTGTTACACAGGTTGGACTTGTCCTCGAGACTGGTTATACTTCAACGGCTCATGCTATCGAGCTCATGACATTAAACTGTCATGGTTTGACGCAAGGGTGGCTTGCCAGAAAAACGAAGGAGAACTGCTTAGCATCAACTCTGAGGGAGAACAGCAGTTCGTATACAAACGCATGGCAGTTAACAAAATGTTTTGGATCGGCTTGGTGAAAGATAACAGCTCTCGAAGGTTCCGCTGGTCGAAAGGGGAGGAGCTAGCTTACTTGAACTGGATCCCTGGAGAGGGAAACACGGTTAACGAGGACTGTGGTGAAATGACAGACTACAGTTCATTTCATGGCCAGTGGAACGACAAATGCTGCTCCAAAAAACAGCCCTACATCTGTGAAAAAGGTAAAGTAATTCATTCACCTCAGGCACTTAGTAATATAAAGAACTGCCTTTTTCTAATAAGGGATATAACTATGGTTATTTTCCTGATAGCAAGTTTTTAATTGTAGTCATTAGTGGTCCCAAAAGCAATTTTCGATCAGGTATCAAATTTAACCAGGTACTGCTTCAGTTTTGACTCCCTGGATTCAGCGATTGGTCTAGAAAACTCATACAAATGTAATAACCGATCATATGCAACACACAATCAAAACGGACACGTGAGGACGAGAGATGGAGAGTAAGAAAGAAACACTTTGTTCTTTTATTGCCCAAGGTTTCCTATTTATAGTGGGAAACATTGGTGTTAAATTGAACCAAATGTGATCTTGTATATAGCGGCACTGAACATGCGGGAATCACACAGGCGGGTCAAAAGGGATTCGGGTTTCTGTCACTGAATGACAGGTTCTGTGTCTGTCAGGCATTTCACTTTCTTTAGGTTCAAGTCCTTGAGGACATTTACCCTTAATAAAAGGAAATTTTTGACGAGGACGTGTTGTTTGAGACAAACCTATGGTACGGGAAGAAGTTGTTCAAAGCACAAATAGCAATAATCCAGATACAACTGACATAGTAACTTCTACTAGAAGAAATGATTTCTTAACTTTCTTGTAGACAGGTAACCATTTTAACTCTTGATCTAGTCTCAAACTTGGTCCCAGTAGAAAAAAGAAGTGCAAATAAAAACAGTCAGAAACAGCTGGAATAAAATAGGACCAGGTCAAAACTAGATAAGTGTCTGTAAATAGGAAAAAGACGTTGATCCCAAAATCTTGATTAGTAATAAATCAGCATTTGAATCGAAACAGATGCAGTGAGCGGACGATATTTCAAGACATTGCCAAACACACAGTTGACTGAGCATGTGATCGACCATTTGATCGTACAAAGTGACATTGAATGTTTGCTCTGGTGTGGACGCAACCAAAACTGCACATCAGTTAACTACAGACCAGGAGACTCGCCATCAACGAGCCTTTGTGAGATAAACGCTGCAATCGCAAACGAGTTTCCCGAAGATATGGTGAAGAGCGAGGAATTCGATTATTATGAGGCTTTAGGTTGAAGATATTTGACTCACTGGCCCCTCCCTGGTGATCATTGGCAATCATGAACCGTTTAGTTTTTAGGTCAGTAATGTAAGGTTTCTCATTTTTGTAGCAAGGTGTATAAAATAAATAAATAATTGGTAAGTAAACAGAAAAAAAATTTTTACAACGCTTGGTTGGTTTGGGTCAAACCTGGCGTTTTGGGTTCCCTTTGTGTTATCAACCACTGCGTTATCACACATGGTTGAAATGATGGACTAAATTTTGTTGTGGTATAGTAAAAAAAAAACAAAAAACAAAAAAACAAACATTCTTGAAACACCATGATGTTTTCCTGCGGAGTCATGGCCCCAACCATTGTAATTACACACACGAGATACTATGTTTCAAGCGAGGATCAGTAAATAGGGTTAATGAGAAATAAAATAATTTCTTTTTCATATCTAGTATGTATGATTACATTAAGATTTGCGCAAAAACAAAATGTCGGATACTGGACAGCTCTTCAGCTTCTAAATTAAGGGCATACGTTTAGATAAATTGTCATCATGATGAAGTAGCTCAGCTACACCCCAGTCGGCACCCAACGATGAAGTTTAAACAACTACATCGAAACTATTACACCCAAAGAATTCAAAAGTTGTGAGAACACAGTTACCAATAATAAGCACAATGAAAAATTCATAATTATTGTTTTCATTATATTTTCTTAGAATTTAAGCACAATTGTCTCTAATATTCCATGCATAATTGATAGTATATCATTTCATTTGAGTCAAAATTGATCCCACATCTCCAGTTCGTCTCTGAAGAAGCATGCACATGAATACACCAAATGGTTTTCTGCGAAACCCGGGTTGTGTGTCATTTAACATGTCACGAAATACGTGACAATACGATTCAAGCTATGCGTGACAAAGCATGTACATTAATGTTTCACTTTCTACTTTGTGACGTTTCTCTGTGTTACGTTATGAAAAATATGTCGACGGTTCATTGGATCAGTGACCATCCCAGATTCAAACTTCTATCAGAATATTTCACAACCACGAATTACTCATTCTTGTTAATGGCTCAAGCTGAAAAAATCGTAGATCACGAAAATCCGTGTAGCACAGGAGCACTTTGCACTTTGTCTAACGGCTCAAAATCCTAAAGTTCTGGACAACACCTTTCCTTTGCTTCTTCATTAAAACAGTCTCACGATCAAGAAACGTTGAAACGTTTTTCAATAATCCTCCTACCCATAAACCAAAACCTTTGCTTATCGAGAGTGTTTCCTGGTTCTACTTCAAATACTGTTATTGCAGAGTTCATCTCTCTGACTGACAGCATTCAATGAATTCTCTGTAAGGTGCACTCGTTTGAGCGGCCCTTCTAAATGTGGATATCAGAGTCTCTTTATTAGTTGCGTCGAGATTCTGCGGGGAGAAAAAATGAAAAAAATAAATGCACTGAACATCTGCAACACCGAGTCACTGCTATGCCTCGTGTATATTCTGTCTAATTCAATGTTACTCACACATTGTACTGGAGTAACTTACACAATTTCACAAAATAAAAACTAGAGGACTGCTAGTTCGCAAGACCTTAATCCAGAAGAAAATCTTGGGAACATTTTTGACGAGGTCACGTAAAAGGGTCTGGTCCCAAAAACAATGGGAGAGCTGAAAACGCAGCAACATCAGGCATAGAGAAAAGTCCTCAGTCCCCTTCCCCACTAACCTGAAAGAGATGGCTCATTCTATGCCACCACCCCAGAAAAACATCATAAAAAGCGAAAAAGGGGACTGCAGGAAAATAAAATCGTCCATGGAAATGGAAAAACTGTGATCACGGGTTATCAACTTGCGAGGTTTTAATGACCAGTCAGCTCGGAGGCAAAGTTTGCATGAGACTGAACTGGCTGCTATAACTTGTCTTACCTGAGTTCTGTAGAAATCCATAGCGGCTGCGCAGAATATTCTAACGTCGATATCTTCAAGTTTACCCATTCTTCCCACGATATAAGAAAAGCTGAGGTTATCGTTAAGAAGAAAATTCAAGAGGACAATGTTGCAGCATAAGAAAACAGTGCCTAAACGTTTACTTCTCTTTAGCGACACCGGCGCGGACACTGGGTTGAGTATCATATCGCATAAATTAACATCAATTAAAACTCTTCCATAGTGCTGTTAAAAAATACAAAAGAGTAACAGAGATCAAGTATGAAATCCCGTGAGTCGCACTCCATACTACATTTTAGACCAAAGATTGGATACAGGGCTCGGATCCATTTGTTGTTGGAAGCGCTAATGAAAAAGCAGGTAAGACTCCACACAGCCATCGACAGAGGTGTCCTTTTAAAAGAATAAACACATAACCAACATCAATTAGGTACACTTGTGAAGACGCCTTACGATCACGTCCGCTGTCCCACTACACTAGCAAACCAAGCCTAAGGGGGTAGACGCTAGAATTTTTGATAGGGGGTCCAAACTTTGACTCAGAAAACAGATATATATATATTTTTTTTAACAGTAGCCCAAATATGCAAAGAAAAATTGCAAGGCAAATAAATATTGAATTTAACACGTCAAATTGTCCAGCCAAAAGTGCTCTTGCTGTTGCAAGAATTTTGGTACCAGAAAAGTGGTAAAAACCCCACTGGTCTGATGGGAAGAGGTTTTGCACCCCGCCGACCTCTCCGTTCATCCCTTAACCAAGCACTTTATGCTGTCCTGGTAAATGTTTATGAAGAATCAGCAGGACAAGGTGGACGAAAAATGGAGGTCTAAATGTCTCTTTCTAACAAATAGCTGCCATGTTTCCAGTAATAGTAGAGTAGACATCTATATTTATACAGGATAGCCCCTTCAGTGTAGTAAACACTGGTATCAACGGGGGTCCTGTTAACCACCCATCCCACCCCAGGGAAGGACATCCATCACACAGTAATCTCGTGCGTGGGAAATTAACGTCTCCTGCCCCTAACCCTGCAGGAGACGGGACCTCCATTTATTCGTCCCTATCCGAGAAGACTAGAATATCTAACCATTCCATGATGCTATAGAAAGGTAGCCTATTCTTCTCAATTATTTTAAGACCCTGACTGTTGGTCCGGCCGGGGCTCGAACCCTCGACCTCCCGCACAACAGTCTAGCGCTCTATTCATTGAGCTAACTGGGAGGCGGTCAGATCATAGATGACAGTCAAAATGTGCTAAGAATAAACTCACGGCGAGATTGGTCTATTTGTTTCAAAGATCTTAAGCTACTGTTAAACTCAATGATGGAACTTTAAGTTTGCTCGCAACCAAATCTAACTTTTTAAGGTGAAGCAGTTCTTAGCTATAAGTAACATCTCACCCAAATACCAATACTAGCTAAGAAAACATCATACCGCTGTATGAAGCTTCCAAGTGAGAGAAGAACCCAGTCTCTCACTTCCGTTTGCTGCCCTTGACTGTGCAGACCTTCAAACACCTAATCAAAATAATAAAAGGCAGAGCAGAAGTTTTAATATTTTATTACTACTATCATTTTTAGGACTATTAGCCCTTCCGAATGAAGTAACTTGTCAGCTGCAGATTATTAGAAAA